GAGGAGGGTCCCACATGGTGCGCAGACCTCTCCTGCCACCCGCTGCTCCCCCCAGCAGTGTGCTTCGGTCCTTCTGCCTGCTCTGCTCCCCGCTCTGGCTCTGGTGAATTCTCTCACCCTCCTGCGCTTCTGACTGTACCCAGTGCATGTATAAACAAAACAAACAAACAAATATAATAAATAAATAAAAACATGCCTCTATTAAAAAAAAAAAAAAAAAAGTTGTGATATATTTATACAATGAACTATTACTCAGTGATCAAAAAAGACAAACTCATGCCATGTGTGGCAACATGGATGGAACTAGAAGGGATTATGCTAGCTGAAATTAGTCAGAAGGAAAAAGATAAATACCGGATGTCCTCACTCATGTGGAATACAAAGAAACCAAACAAAAGGTGAAGAAAATGTCAAAACTAACAAGCTGACCATAAAACTGAGGCATAGAACAAAGGAATGGGCGGCTGGGGGATGGGGAACAAAACAGGGGAGAGAACACAAGGAACTATGGTGATGGTTTACCGGTGTTAAGGTAGTGGGAGAACTATGGGTACTACAATGATGTAAGAAAAAAAACAGTAAAAATATTTTTTTAAATAAAAATAAAATAAAATACTATCATTAGAGCTAAAAAATAAAATGCTATCAATAGAGATGAGAAACACACTATTTACTATCATTTTTTGGTTTATAAAAAAGATATGGTGTTCAGTGACATGTTGACTATTGTAGGCATCTAAAAATAATCTCATAATACAAATTAAAAGTCTACTTAATTAGGGGCCTCCCTGGTGGGCATCGGGTTGAGCGCTGCACTGTGAAGCTGTCCGCAGCCTCTGCAGTGCAGGTTCGATTCCCAGCGGCCTGGGAGAAACCCACATGGCGTAGCAGACCTCTCCTGACTTGCCTGCTCCTCCCCTCAGCAGTGTCTTTGGTCAGTCTGCTAGTTCTGCTCCCTGCTCTGTCTCTGGTGAATCTTCTCACCCTCCCACGCCTCTGACTGTACCCCAGTTCTTGTACAAATAAATAAATAAATGAATCTTAAAAGAAAAAAATAAAAAATAAGTAATTAGTAATCACTGCACCCTATGCATATTCTGTATTGATCTCATGGAAAACTGATACTATTTTCTATTGTTACTCATGGTTTTTAACTAACCATTTTGGTAACATGAATGATTTCACATTAGTATGAAAAAAGTTTCTAACACTTTAGAAATAACAATTTTGTACTTGAAATGTTAACCTACATTAAGATGTGGCCTTAGATTTCTAGTTTAATTATACTATAATATTTTATTGATTCCAATTTTTTTATTTATTCTCTTACCAATGAGCTTTTAGGTTGTTTCTATTCATTTTTTTTTTCTCTTCTTTTGCTATTACAAAATAACAGCGTCTTTCCAGGTTTATACTGGTCACTCGTACCCATATACCCACACTCCATCCTGTTGTCCAGTGATTCCAGAAACACTTCTTATCGGTGACCTTTTTCACATGGTGTTATCTTTGCCTCAGATGTTTTCCTTTCTTCCCCTGGCAACTCCTGCTCTGCACCTGTTTCAAATACCACATTTCCTAACTCGGCCAGATTTTAGTGCCTACCTTAGGTTTGAAAGCATTTGTTTTTTTAGCTATAAACACATGGCACCAGGCTGAAAACTCATAGATATACGAATATTGTCTTACTGATCTTAACTACTTACTGGCATGGAGTCTAGTAAGCCATGGGTGACATACATTAGAGTCCTTTTTGGAACAGCAAATACATCCATTCATTCATCTTATGTATTTTCTAGATGCTGATACTACAACGACAAAAACAATCAAAATTCCTTTTACTGCCACCACAGAGCCTATATTCTAGAGTAAGAAGACAATAATGAACATGGATGTGGGGTGTAAGCCTGCAAAAGGGCTGAATCTTAAAGGGAGCAGCAGAAGGAGATGGGTGTGAAGGAAGAAGTGAGGGGGGCTATCTGGGGAAAGAGCTTTCCAGGCAGAGGAAACATCAGAAGCAAGGCCCCAGAGTGAGAACATGCTTGGCACTCAGCAGGACTGCGGGGCAGAGAGGAGATCAGACACAGAGGGCATACTCTCATGTGCACCTCATAAATGACAACAAGGACTCTGATTTGCTCCTAGAAGACAAGAAACCATTGAAGGGATCTGAGCAGAGAAGTTTTAATGTTTTGTTTTTGTTTTGTTTTGTTCTTCTATAAACAAATAGAAGGTAACCAAGACAAAAAGCAGGGAAATAAAGAAACTTTTCCACAACTCCAGTGAGAAATGTTGGTGGTTTGAACCAAGATGGTGGGGTTTGGAGATTCTAGATATGTTCTGAGGATAGAGGTGAATGGCTTGCTGTGGGATTGGATGTGAAACATGAGAGAAGAAGGATGACTCCATTTTTTAACCTGAGCAAACTAGAAGCACAGATTAGTCATAAGCTGAGATGGGGAAGGGGATGTGTCATGCAACCATCCCAAGCTCACTGTCAGTTCTCACAGATGATAAGGGGACTTTGGAGCCTGTAGTGGGTTTTGCAGGCCTTTATTGCTGAAACAGGGGACCATATACACAAGCAGGCAGACAGAGCAAAAGAGACTCCAACACTAAGAGTAGCAGAACAGCAACTCCACTGCCCAGCCCCCTTACACTGTTAAGTGCCCACAGTCACACATCCAACATATGTTGTAAATGCAAGGCCCTCTGTTGTTTGCTAGATGTTGGAATGGTAGGAAACATAGCATTTCACATAATGGGCTCTCTGTTGTGTGGAAGGGAAGGTGAAAAATAGCCTGATTTACTCATTTACCTTACAGTACGGAACAGGGTTTAAAAAAATACAGACATTTTATGTGAAAATGCTTGTTAGGCATTCAGAGATGAAAACCAATTTTGGCATTCAGGGGAGAAATGCAGTAAAAATTTGCAAGTCATCAGTGTACAGTGAAACTGCAAGTCCTGTGATACTGGTGGGGGTCTCCAGTGCACCTCATAGAGAGAAGAGTTTGAATGCCTGACCCCAGATAGCCCCACTCACTTCCTCCTTCACACCCATCTCCTGCTGCTCCCTGTTAGGGACATAGGGAAGAGGTTGGTTACTACCCTAAAGTTAGTGTTTGGTGGCTTGGGACCATGCTTGGGCACCTGTATATCTGCAGTCAACATATTTCCCCATATGTCTATGCAACCCCAATACACTATTAGTCCCCATGTAATAAAGATTTAGCTAGCCTTTGCCTTCAGTTCCTGGGAGGAAGATGCTAAATTCTTGGAATTTGTCAAGTAATAGCTATTTCACTGTTATTCACGATAGCCCTGATAATTTATATTAATGAAGTGATTCTTTCCAAGTAAATCCCTCAATAGTTTATAGTAACTAGATGACCCAAGATGGGGGGTAGCCACACCAGAAAAAGCAAACAAGTGATTGTAAGGTTGGACTTTTGAGTCATCAACCTAAAGTGTGGGTAGGGGAAGGGGCCTAAAGATTGAGTTCAACCACAAAAACTGTGATTCAGTAAGCCACCTGAAAATACATATGAACACCCAGCTCAGGTCAGATCAGCTTCCTTAGAAGATTTTGGATGGTTCTGATTTGTATCCTTTTGCTCTAATAAGACTATAATTTTAAGTATAGCATTTTTCTAAGTTCTGTGAGTCACTCTAGTGAATTGTCAAAACTAAACAGGTAGTGAAAACTTCTAATTAGCAGCCAGAGGACAGAAGTACAGGTGGCCCAAGCTTGTGGTGGTGTCACAGGGAACTGAGTCCTTAACATGTGAAGCTGGGACCCATTCCGAAAGTCTGCTTCAGTTTCCCAAACTGCCCTGAATGGTCACCCAACTTACTGAAGCTATGTCAGCTTGCTCCTTCCAAAACATATCCAACTTTTAAGAAGTATAGTTCTTAATAATCATTGCTATTGTGTAGGCTTTTACATTGTTGGTTATAAATATTTCCTGTATTTGGATTAAAAAAAATGACGTTTTCTCTACTGTAGACTTTGCTCATCAAGTCCAGAAGATTATGGTGAGTTCAAGAGTCCACCAGTCAAATGTCCCTGGATATAAACTGTGACCAAGGCCTGACTTGCCATACCTCCCAGGACACTGTGACTTGTACAGAATCACAGGCATATTGCAGTCAGCTTTACTCCCTGAGTTCAACCATAACCCCATTTCCTGCTTCTTTCCCTTCTCTACTAAACTATGTTGTCAGGTGTTGCTTCTAGAACAAGGTCATCTATCCAAGGCACAATAGCCTTAATTGCTGTCATTTTCACATTCATGATACATCTTATTCTATTGTTTAGGAAGAAAACACCTAGGTTCTGGAGAGCTTAAGAGCAGCATTCTCAAGGTGACCCACTGTCACAGCAAAAGAAAGAAGAACCAAGACCTCCTGATCCCTCTCACTGTACTCCCAGATCATGTTGCCACTCAGGAAGAAAAATTCAATCAGGATCTAAATATACTTTATGTAGAATGATCCAGCACTGTGATATTGATTTTTTAAGTTAAAAATAAAGTTATTCTAGGGCCTCCCCGGTGGCGCAGCGGTTGAGCGCTGGGTTGCGAAGCTGCGCGCGGCCTCTGCGGCGCCGGTTCGATCCCCGGCTGCTCCCCGGCCACCGGAGGAGGGTCCCACATGGCGCGCAGACCTCTCCTGCCGCCCGCTGCTCCCCTCAGCAGTGTACTTCGGTCCTTCTGCCTGCTCTGCTCCCCGCTCTGGTGAATTCTCTCGCCCTCCCGCGCTTCTGACTGTACCCAGTGCATGTATAAACAAAACAAACAAAGAAACCAGCAAACAAATAAATAAAGCATGCCTCTATAAAAAAAAAATAAATAAATAAAAAAAATAAAAATAAAAATAAAGTTATTCTATCACTTTTCCCCTATACAAAATTCTGTTCTTAAAGCTCAAAATATCCTTTTTTGATGCAGAATCTTTTAAACTTTTTTAAATATATCTCCAAAGGAGAGTATAAATACCTTGGTGGTACATTGCCTCTCCTTCGTGCATAACACACAAGTCTCAATGCTGTCCTTATAGCTCAGAATTGCCTCTTCTGGGAAATTCTTTACTCTCCAGCCTCAAAGCAGAGGTGCTGGCAGCCAGTTGGCCTAGATGACAGCATTCCCTGGCCCAAGCTGACTGCAAGAGATGGATATAGCACCAAGTGGGTCCAATTATCAGATCAGTGACAAAAAAAAAAAAAAAAAAAAAAAAAAAACCCTGATAACTCTAAAGAATGTGAGGGTAAGCGTTAGTTCTGTGAATTCATCCAAACCTTGGATCATGAAGATCAGGGGCAAGTATAGAAACATAATCCATCAAGAAGTAGAGGGAAACCTAAGACCCTTGGACTTTTGTAAGTGAGTCTGTTCAATGTATGATTTTACAATACTGCTCTACAACTCGCCCTTTTCAGGCACTTGAATTTTCTCAAAAAGGTTTCTCTTCCTTGCAACCAATAATTCTGGAGGGAATCTTCCTTTCTAGGACACCCCAATTCATCTACAAGTTGAAACAAGCTGCAATAGATCTCATTAATTTGATGTTGACATTTGACTTCAATCCCAACCTTATCCTTTTTAAAAGAAGTCATGTATTTTAAGTAGGAAGAAACATGTTTCTTATTTTTTAACTGCATTCCCAGGGAAAATCTCTATTTAATTGGAACCAAAAATACATCTTACATGTGTTTTTATAATATTATAGTTTATAGAACTGGGTTCAGGATCAGAATTCAAGCTAATATTGTCTATGAAGCAAAATAGAGAGAAGATAAAGGTGAGTCCCTAACATTCTTTTAGTGTTTTTATTCTTTTTATTAGATAAGGGGCCAAGCTGACAGTGTAATTGGTAATAAGCTGTTATTATTAAAACCTGTACCTGGTATAGGGTTAGGACACTTGGGAAAGTGTGATTAGAGAAGGAACTTATTAAAGTGACGCCACAATGGCGTTGATTACATTTAGAGCAGATCCTGTGCAAGCTTCCTGTCAGGGCTGATGCAGGCTGTATGTAGCTTGCACAGCCTTGTCACTCTACTAAACACAAGCATGGTGTGCTCCCAGAGACATCTGCCTCTGGGTTGACACAGCAGTTGGAAAGCAATGTTTTCAGGTTACTGTGGCTCAAAAAATTTGAAAAAGTTAACAGAGCTGATGACTAAGCTGGACTGCCATCACTGAAAACTGAAGGCATAAAAACTGCTTCATAAAAACTCAGATTTTTACCTTCATAAATCAGGGATTTCACAAATAATTCAGTGTGACCTATATGATGTCTTATTCTTCCTACACAGGCTTCTTTCCAACTGAGAAATCCAGGTCTACTCCCATTAAGTAATGGAAAAAGATTTCCCCTTCACAAGGGTCAGGCATTAAGCAGAAACTACAGTCATTTCTGTCTGCCACGCTTCTCTGTCTGGTAGCCCAAACAGCCCTTACAGTCCTACAACGATGGCCAGGAGGAAACAATGGCCATTAAGGAAAACTTTCAAGATCTTAAGAATTAAAGAATACCTTTATTTTCTCATATCCACAGTCCATTTACAAAAGTTGATTATATAGGGTCCACAAAGAAAAACCTGATAAATTAGAAAATGCAGAAAAAGTGTGGATAACTTTTTTTTTGAACCACATAGTGACTAGACTATATGTTAGTAATACAAGTTTGAAGCTTGAAAATACATTAACCAGTTTAAAATTAAAAATCCAAATAGAGCCTATTCTAGAGGCACTTGGCACCCTGAGCAGTTAGGTTTAGCACTGCTGAATGCCTTATTGGGAAATCCTTTTTATAAGCTAGCTGGAACAGTCAGAATCCCAGGTGATGTGGCCCCTTAAGGTATCCTGGAGACAAGGCCCCTTGCATCTTTGGACTGAGAATTCCTAAAGGGTAGAAGCAATGTCTTCCACTTTGGCTATCACTCCAGTTTGGGAAAAGTGCCGGGAACAGCTTTGGGGTCAGGCCCAGTGCTGCCGCCCAAACTCACCTGCCCCAGTGAGTGACCCAGCACCTGGAACAGCTTTGTGGGTGGACCCAACACCAGTACAGATCCCATCATCATTTAACAGCTGTAATGGCTATTATCAAAAAGACAAAGAAAGAAGTGTTCATGAAGATATGGAAAAAAGGAACCTTTATACATTTTTAATAGTACAGCATTTGGAAAAGAGTATGAAGATTCCACAAAAAAATTAAAAATAGAATTACCATATGATTCAGCTATTCAACTTCTGGGTATTTATCTGAAAATTGTGAAAACACCATTCTGAAAAGATGTAAGCCTTATGCTCATGGCAGCACTATTACAATAGCCAAGACACAATCTAAATTCCTACTGATTGATGAATGGATCAAGAAGATGTGGTACATGCACAATGGAATCCTACTTAAGTAGAAAAAAAGATGAAATCATTCCATTTGCAAGAGCATGGATGTATCTTAAGGGGATTATGGTAAGTGAAACAAGTCAGAAGGAGAAAGAGAAATGCCAAATGATTTCACTTATTTATGGAATATAAAGAAAAAAAGAGAATAAAAAAAAAAAAAGAAAACCTAAACTAAAACAAGCCCTTTCATTCTGACAACAGATAGGAGGTATGAGGGGAAGGGGAGGCCCTGGAAGAGGTCATTGAATGATGGTGGCTAATGGTAACTAGACCTTTGGTGTTGGGCATGATGACAGCTGACAAAGTGTGAAGCTATACACCTGAAACTTACATAGTGTTGTAAACTGATGTTGGCTCAATACAGTTTAAAAAACAAAAATTAAAAAGTTAAGGCCTCCCCGGTGGCGCAGCGGGTTGAGCGCTGCTCTGTGAAGCTGTCCGCAGCCTCTGCAGTGCATGGGGGTGGGATTCCCAGCCAGCCAGCCAGGGACATTCCCACATGGCGCAGTGCTCCCCGCTGTGTCTCTGGTGAATACTCTCACCCTCCCGTGCCTCTGGCCTATACCCCAAGATTTAAAGGTTTTTAAATCTTTGAAAAAAAGCTAAAATTACAATTTTTAGAAATTAGTAACAGTAGAAATACTACACAAGAAATACAAATAATTGCACTCAAAAGAAGACTCTGTAGTGTTGAATAAGATTGCCAACTAGCCAACACTCATTGGTTCTGCCATCTATTATAAATGCTAAAATATGAAAACATTTTTGCATGGATTGGCAAACAGTACCTCTCCGGGCTCCTGTCCTGAAAACAGTAAACCTTCCAAAATGCAGCAGTTACGGGGTCTCTAGGAATCCCAAGTGCTGTGTCTCTTCTGATTGGTCACTTCCTATACAGGACTAGTAACTAAATATTGTATAGTTTAACTACCTTTGTTATGAAACAAGAAAAAAGATAAAGGAACTAATAAGTAATTTTTATGTAACTTAAAGATAAGGGAAAAAAGAGTAAAATAAAACCCAAGACAGCAGGAAGAATAAATTGCTGAGGCCCCCAAATGTTCAGAATAGCTTCCATCTGCTTCTCCTGTCCTACTTTCCTTCTTCCTGCCCTGGGTCCTGCTTAGGCTGTTTCCTTCCTCCTTTGTCTAGTTCCAGCTCAGATGTTAGTAACTCCAGGAAACTTTCACTTACCTAGCTGGCTAAGATAGGTGCTACATACTTATATTTACCGTAACGGAAACATAATTGTTCTATTTTTATGTCTGCTCTATTACAGTAATTTTGTGTTGTTTGGCCTAATCACGAAACATTTTTTTTAAAGTAGTGTAACCATATATTCATTTTTAAATTGAAATAGAAACATTTTCATGAAAAATTTAAATCACAGCAAAGATTGCTATTTCTGGTATATAGTAAATGTTAACATTTTAAAATAAAATTGCTACATCTCTCTTATCATACATAACACACTTATTTGATGTCACAATATACAGAAATGCTATACCTTTTGTTACTCTTATTACACTCACATTGCCATTCCATTTCCCCAACATGAGGTGAACATGGTTATTTAGTATTTTTTTCTGTCACAAAATGCACATACAGATGCATGCTTAAGTTTTTAAAGGTCCTATGATCCTCAGCTCTAAATATTACACTATTGCTTTTACCTCGGGTAGTCAATGATTATTAAAATTATTATAGTTAGTATACAATTGACCCAAACAAAATAAATGTTACAAATATAATTTAAAACATTACTAAGAAAAAATGTTAAGAAATGCACCTCTTAATAAAGCTGCTCCTCTCCCAGTAGCTCATGTATCCACAACGAGTATGACATTGCTAGAATGATTCAGGATTCTAAGTAAATGCTGTTCCTTGCTAGTAAGAGTAGTCTAGAATTAGGTAATAGCATATGTTGGTTATGCAAATAAGTAGTTCAGTAGACAATATTTTATAATAATACATATTCCCTAAAGCCCATAGTTAATTCATCATCAAAATCATTATTGATAATAAAAAGCCCGCAGCTCAATGACGTCCTACTTCAGCTTGGTGAAACTAAAAAACTGCAAAACAGCTGACTTGGAAAGGACTTTTTACCCATCATCAGTAACTCACTTTCTGGGAAATATATAAAAAAACATTGCAAGATTTATAGTATTATTAATACTACTCTTTCACTTAGAGGTATGTAGAGGTATTAACTCATGAAAAATTGAGAATATTGATGTATTATTAATTTCATTGCACTTTTTCCAATACAACATTTTTAATGAAATGATTTTTACATTAGCTCATGCTTTAAATATATTCTCACCTTTAAATATATTCTCTTTAAATAGAGCACACTTTAAAAATATATATAGGGAGAAACTCTACATTGTGAAAAAATAAGCAAGGATGTTTAAAAAATAAAAAAAAGAAAGAATATTTTCTATATGATAAAAATAATTCATTATATTTTTGGAGTTACAGATTTAACCATTCTATCTATGAGAAATATTTACCATGTAATATGACTGGTAAAGCCAGTTCTCCCTATCAAACCAATTAGCCAAATCAGACTTGATGTCAGAAAAAACGTCTGATCTCATTTTTAAATTCAACTAAATGTGTTAATGTACTTTCAAAGGACAATAAATATGACTAGAAATATGACTAGAAAAATGCAATGAAAGATGCAATTTTTAACTTAAATAATTAAAAACATTCCATTAAAATTAAAATAATATATATCTAATATGTTTATCCTCTTTAAAGATAGTTATATAAACAAGATAGTAAATCGTTCTCATTACTTAATTTGTTCTACTACTATGTAGTTCATAGCCAAAAATACCAGTTATTTGAGAAGAGAGGAGCATGTAATAGACTTGACATTCTGAAATTGTGTGTACATGATTTGATTTTGAAGGACAATTAAATGATTCTTATGTATAAAAATCAGAAATAACTCAAATAATTTTGATCAGTTATCAAAAATTTTTTATCTTTTTTTAAAAATTGAAGAGAATATATTGTTAAACATAACCAGCCAGCAACTAGCATATTTTATTTTGAATTGATAGTAGTAGGAAGAAAATATTAAACATTTTATAACATGGCAAATGAGTATAATGAATTCATATTATTTGAAAAACTATCTTAATTCATAGCTGTGCTAATGTGAGAGAAATTGGATAAGTTTTATTCATATATTTTATTTAATAGCCTTGAAAATGCTGATGGTTCCGGAAACATCTTAATTACATTTATAAGAATCAATGAGGGACTCCCTGGTGGCACAGCGGTTGAGCGCTGGGTTGCAAAGCTGCCCACAGCCTCTGCAGCGCCGGTTCGATCCCCGGCTGCTCCCTGGCCACCGGAGGAGGGTCCCACATGGAGCGCAGACCTTTCCTGCCTGCCGCTCGCTGCTCCCCTCAGCAGTGTACTTCGGTCCTTCTGCCTGCTCTGCTCCCCGCTCTGGCTCTGGTGAATTCTCTCACCCTCCCGCGCTTCTGACTGTACCCAGTGCTTGTATAAATAAATGAATAAATAAATAAATCTTAAAAAAAAAAAAAGAATCAATGACCAATCCTGGAGGTAAGCAATAAGGATTCCTTATGCCTAAAGAATTGCTACATTTAAAACATGGATGGGCCTGTTTTCAGTATTCATTATTTCATACAGAAATGTGCTTTGCTTTGCTCTCCAGTAAGTCTTCCTTAAGAAATTTCACAAAAGGCAGGGAATGGCAGAGGCAAAGACATTAAGATGAAACCGGTCTTTCCTAAACATACCATGTGTCTGATGAACTCAGGATATCCTAACCAAGCTAGGCAAAACATCCTCTTCCCAATACCATACTTCACTCTTAACAGAATGTAGAAAACAGGAACAGAGGAGAAACTCCAAGAGTTTATGATGTCTTGATTTATTATTTTAAAAAATATTCTCTTTGTTGATGCCTTTACATTTTAAACCCCAGAAGGGAATGCAGCAGGGTAAGATGTGAGATTGGCGAGAGAAATGTCCCCTTTTGTGAAGAGTTATTATAAACATACATTTGGAAAAGAATAGATAGAAGTTGAGGGCTTAAGAACAGAATTTTATAAAATATCTCTGCTTGAGGACCTCTTAGAAAGTCTTTTATTTCAGAGTCATGCTCCCAGTTTGAGATCCATATCTCATGAGACTGAGTTCCCTGAACACAGAATCTTTCTATCCCAAAACTCTATGGATGAGGCCACATGGGAGGGTCTGTGTGATGGGATGGGGAGGGCCTGTGTGATGGGATGAAGGATTAGTACACTTATAAGAAAAAATCAGTTTTCTTTCTCTCTCTCTCTGTTCCCTCCACCCCAACCCGCTGCTTGGACACAGCAAGAATGTAGCCTTTTTCAAAGCAAGAAAGGGCATCTAACTAGGAACTTAATCAGCTGGCATACTGATCTTGACCTTGGACTTTCCAGCCTCCAGGACTATGAGAAATACAGTCTATTGTTTAAGTCACCTAGTCTTCTATGTATTGTTACAACAACACAACCTGACTAAAACACATCCTATCACAGTATATAATATGAGGACCCATCTCCACAAAAGACACATCAACTTCCATAGAAATCCTCCAATTAAAGATACTTTGAGTACCAAGGCCTACTAATCCAGGCAGTTCCTTAGGTTGCAGGGGTCCTT